GAAGGGGGAATCTAGTTTTCCAGAAAAAAAGAATCAAATGCATCAACATAGATATAGATGTATAGCTGTTGATGTATCTATCAAGAATAGATCATGTTCTGAAAGACTGTTACCATAATATAAGAATCAAAACTGCCTCAGAACTGAAGCAATTAACTAAGAGAAAGAAGCAAAGAATGTCTGATTTTTGAGCTCACATGTTAAATGTATTATGTGAGAATCTAAAAATAAATACAAACAACACATTTAGAAACAAGTTTAGAAACTTATGTATTAGCATATGCACTAATATGGGAGCCAGGAATAACTGTGACTATCTGCTATACATACAAATAAGGAAACAATCAAGCAAATGAATGAATGAATGAATGAATGAATGTGCAATGCAATCTTCAGCCTCAAAGGAAAACAGAGAATATCAGCAATACACAAACATTATGGAGTACATCAAATGCCACACTGACTGGAAGCAACAGAAAATATTTTACCTTCATTCTCCCAAAAACACTAAGTTAATTCTGCATCATTCTCAAACATGCATCAATAAGAATTTCTGCAAGGGCAAACTTCAACAATAATTATCAAATCAAAAAAGCCCATTCTCCGAGAAAAAGAAGAGAGAAAAATAAAAGACAAATACACCACTCTTCATGAGAGAGAAAAGGAAAATTTGATTTTTGAAACAAGCTAGATCAGGGGTGTCAAACTGCCAGCCCGTGGGCCGGTCTCATCATACCGAAACCGTGCCCACCCCATTGCCAGCAATGCAGAAAGAGTCGTGATACGTCACGACACGTCACGTGGCGAGTTTGACACCCGTGAGCTAGATTGAGTTGATTTAATGTACAGGTAGTCCTCGACTTTTGACCACAATTGAGCTCAACATTTCTGCTGCTAATTGAGACATTTATTAAGTGAGTTTTGCCCCATTTTACTATCTTTCTTGCCACAGTTGTTAAGCGAATCACTGGAGTTGTTAAGTTAGTGACAAGGTCATTAAGTAAATTTAGTTTCCCCATTGACTCTGCTTGTCAAAAGGTCACAAAAGGTGATCATATGACTCTGGGACACTGCAACCATCATAAATATGAGTCAGTTGCCAAGCATCTGAATTTTGATCACGTGCCCATGGGGATGCTGCAATGGTCGTAAGTGTGAAAAATGGTCATAAGTCACTTTTTTTGGTGCCATTGTAACTTTGAACTTTGGTGCCATTGTCACTAAACTGTTGTTAAGTTGAGGACTACCTGTAATCAGTAAATACATTTTACAAGTTTGCTCAGAGCAAATTGGACAGACAGTACTCTTATCTCCATTGCAAGTCTAATCACACCATTTCTATTAAGGAATAGATTTAATTTGGCAGGGGGGGATTATTTGGAATAAATTTATTTGAAATACTCATAAAATACTTTATTTTTACAGTAAAATTTTAAGAGTTGGTACTAGTGACTTTATTTTTCAATTAAATAGTCCAGCAGGACATTCTATTGTATTTACATTCAACCTCCATCTACTTAAACCTTCTCCAACATAGATAAGCATCCAGATAGTTCCCAGAATTCCCTGCCAGCATAGCTATTGCTGGTCTGCATGATGCTAAACTAAATGTTTCAGATGCCATAAATACTGTGTTCGATCTTCATTTTTATATTCAAACTCTGGCCCTGATCTCATATACCATTCTTAAGTAGAACTCCTGGTTTTTATTCTTAAAGACATCAGGGCTATTTTGGATTCTGATTTTCCCACAGACAAGTGTTTCTGAACCCCTATGTCGACATTTACAGATCAGAACCTAGCTAGTTCAGGTGTTTGCTCTTCAAACTGAGTTTGATCCAGTGCTCTAAAACCCTGCCCTCTATTTCTTATTTCATTTAACTCACAAGCTAGTTAAGCCCTGAGTCATTCACCTATCAGCTGCTTTCTCTAAATGTGCTCTCAAGGTTCACACTAAAGAAGACAGCAGTAAAGAAAAAAATATTTAACAAGTTCTTATTTTTAGCAATATATTGTGAATAAAGTTATTTTTAGTGCCTCTACACATTTTTATACAAATATAAGCTGATTGTCCTGGATAGAGAGTTCCATGATCAGGCAATGATGACATAGATACAGTTCCTGAAGAAATCTAAATAAATAATTTCCAGCTTTAATGAGCAATCTTACCTTCAAAATATATAGCACATCTTGTACCATGCTACAGAAAGGACTTGGGGGATATAGCTCTTTAAAACTACAGTAATTGTATTCTACTCATGCTCCATTTTACTACCAGCTGTAAACCAGCTCTACATGCATCAGGGTTTGCATCAAAATGATGCAGACCAAGCCCATATTCAACAATACTGTAGTAATATCAATGTATAACTTTGACAGGCTTTTGCAGGGAAAATTAAAATATTTCTGTAAAATTAGTTTTAAACAATCAACAGCACTTCCCCAAAATCCTCAGGATTACAGAAAAGTTTGAAAAACAAAAGTAAACTTTCATTTTCTTTCAGGTAAGCTGCTTTCAATAGAACAGACATGTCAAACTCGCGACGTCATGTGACGTCGCGCAATGTATCGCAACAGTTTTGTCATTGCCGGCAATGGGGTGGGCGCGGCTTCCGCATGACGCACCCGGTCTGCGTGCCGGCAGTTTGACACCCCTGCAATAGAATAACCTACTACAGAGACAGCCATGTATTCAAAACAGTTTATCTAGTTTTTGATCCAAACGTAATAACGGAGAGCACAAGATTATTGATACTCTTCAGACTAAACTAGAAAGAGGAGCTGAAAAAAGGAGCTGAAATTGGCAGCAAAAATAATAAGAAATATCTTTCAGTTTTTCTGCAGTTATTGGAAATAAGTTAATGAAAACCATAGGCCTCCTATCTCTTGTTCCTTCCAATTGTAACAAGGTTATGGCCCATGACTGACTTCTAAAACTGGATGAAACTATCACAAAATGAAAAGACATCTGAGCTCCTTCCTTCGCAATGCAGACACTACTGTCCCATTAGAACATAGCAATGTTTCAGGCAAAGGCTTTCATGAAGTTTAAAAATACTTCAAAAATACTTCAATTTTTTATGCACACTAAAAGAAGAAATTTTTCAGTCAAAAGTGACACACTGACTAAGAATATTGGCACAAGGTGATAAAATGCAAGGTAAAATCAATGCACAAATCACAGCTCCACTTAAACCCAGAACTGCAAGTAGTCATCACCATAATACCTGAAAGACTAATTTTATTTAACAATGTTTTCCAATTCAAAATCTTAAGAAGTGAAACTAGAAGTCCTCCCAGCGATTCAAAATAATAATAAAATTAAGCAGGTCTAATGCAATATACAAAAAAATGTTCTCTTTGATTTTTTAAAATACTGATTTGCTTTGCTGTAGAAAAACTGGAAGATGCATATGCATTATTCACTGTTATTTTTAGTTATTTTACATATTAAATTTATATGGTGCCCATCTCACCATTATAACTCTGGGTGGCCTACAATGGTATAAAAGTATACAGTACATATAAAAAACATTAAAAGTACTAAAATTAAGATTAACAACGATTCAAGGTTAAAAACAAGAACATGGATGGTACAGAGTGGATTTTTGTCTCTCACTTTTATAGTAATCGATAGGAAAAGTGTTATCATATTTTTAGGCCCTTATATTGCCTCCAAATATAGTAGTAAATATTCCTTCCCATTCCACTTCCCAACATCCTTGCCAAAATTCTTACCTCAAGCTTGGTAAATAAAACATGTTTAATGAGAACAGATTAGGGAAATCAGCTAAACCTAAACAATGTTACATTGTACATGAAGAATCATTATTTTTAATAGTAGAAAACTGGAACCTTGCAGTAGAGAAAAATAGATCAAATTATGTAGTTTCTAACAGATTTTCAAAAAGACATGCACTGCCCGTTTGAGTGTGAGATTTGGTAGAAACAGTAGTACAATCTTAGTTTATCCTGCAAGTGGGAACATCTGGAACTTAATTTTAAAGCAATACAAAAATCTTTAGGCTTGTAATTTAACATCCAAGTGCAACTAATGAAAACAAGGGAATACTTAGGGATGTCGTTATTCTAGCTGTTCTGCTGAATCCAGTAAATAAGGATGCATGGTCACACCACATATTATGTCATTTGCAAAGTTTATTACCACTGAAAATTAGATAGAAAATGGAAAGAACGCCAAATTCATTTTCAGAAAATCACAGCATGGAAGGCACAAAAGCGGAAATCCTTCATGTTGCCCCTCATACTCCTCATACAACTTGAAATTATAAAGTGGATTATCAATTTGCAAGAGAAAACATAAGGAGGAGCTGTAAGAAACAAAAAGCAACATCACTTTCTCTGGAATCGTGTTGGTCTCTCAAATACCGTTATCCATTTATATAGTGAGAATGATCTCCATCCTTCAGAAGATATGGGAAATAATACAGAACAGAATGCAAAAGTCTTTCTATCCCACTGTTGTGGAAAAAACCACGATACTTACATCAGAAGACAAGACCACGAAGGGTTGGAGAAGACAGGTTTATTTGTGCACAATGGTTCAGAGCATTAGCATGACAGATTCTGAACACTGGGCTATTTCCAGCGTGTCATTCTTATACAGCTTGCCACCCACGCCTAACCCAATGGATGACTTATCTACCTTTAACACACTAAACGGAGAAGTTCATGTCTAGGGACCACACAGAAGAAAAGAAGAAGTTCATACAGAAGGCTTATCTTGCCTCATCTCCCTAGACGGTAATATCTTACACCATCTGTGACTTTCAGTTGGCACTTCTTGTAAAAGGTTGTCTCTTTAGAATTGGCACACAGGTTACATGGATTTTAGGCACAATTAAGCACAATCAAATACTACAATACTCTATTCCCCTTATTGATATAACATTTTAAAAACATTTTCCTATGACATTTCCCATCTACCTCACCACCACTCCCTTTATGAAAGGAGAAACGAGTTGAAGCCAAATAATTACCTGAGGGTGGATCTGGGGCTTGTCACACGTGGCCTCAAAATCCAACACTAGGAAGTAATGATACCTCTGTGGGGGAAAGGATGACATTGCTGCCATGGAAGCAAAGCCGTGAGAAGCCAGTTTCCCGGTTTTAGTGGAGCTGTTCCTCTGGAAAACACTAAATAACAGAAAGGAGAGCAGAGGAGTCCTCAATCTTGGGCACAATCTGAGGTGAAGCCTTGCTGCTGTTGAACCGAGAAGTACGATCATTGAACACCTGGTAGCATCTGGAACTTCAAAAGAAAAAAAAAAGTGGAATCACTCTACAAATACAGACTTCTTCATTTTAATGTTATTTAGGAAATACTACTTCCATTTATGTATTTGAACAAAAGCTGGAAATTAGCTTCTAATAATCACATCACTTATTTAAAGCACTTCTACCATTTCTGCATCAATAGGATCCAAGACAGCTAACAAACTCTTAGTCACTCAGCAGCTCTTCAAAGTTATAGCAAATTTCCTAAGACCAACTTTTGACCTGGTCCCAAAGTTATAGCTGCTGTAACAGCCGCAGTTTTTCATACTTACAACCAATCACAGGGGCACTGTGTGCCAACCCCCCCATTGCATATCTCCCCCACCATCCTGCCCCACCAGATCCCTGCAGACCTAGAGCCTGCTTCCCAGCCCACCAGGCTCCATAACCTCCTCCGCCTCACTTATCTTTTGAAAATCTCCAGAGTTTGGATTAGGGAAGCAGAATGGATCATTTCATCATGTGGCTGTGTGCCATGATTTTGGAAGCGACCACCATTTTCCAAGCAGCTACCTTGAATTGTGATCCCTTAAAAAATGGCAGCCATTTCCAGAATTGCACCACACAACCGTGTGACAAAGCAATCCATTCTACTTAATTAATGTACTCAGTTCAGCAGTCTAGAGCATGGGTGTCAAACTCACCTCGTCATGTGACGTGTCGCAACGTATCGCAACTCTTTTTGCATTGCCAGCAATGGGGTGGGCGCGGCTTCGGTATGATGAAACCAGCCTGTGGGCCGGCAGTTTGACACCCCTGGTCTAGAGCTACAGAGATCTTCAAAAGGTAAACAAGTGATACGTGATTGGTGGGGAGGAGGCCTAAGCCTTGCAGGGACAGTGACCGGCGGGGAGGCCTGTAGGGACCTGGGGAGGGGAAGCAGACTCAAGAGCTATGGGGACAGTTGGCAAGCAAAGCATGGGGTGTCTCAGGGGATGGGGAGACCTTGAGAAATACGGGACTGATGGGAGTGAGTCTGCACTAAGCCTCCCAGGACCTCCCCCAAACTAAGGCACACATGCTCTGCTTAACAACCTGCAAAGTTGTTTAACGACTGCATCAGGAAAATCAGGGGATAAGAGTCAATAAGCGAGGCCATATAGCTTAATGGCCATCACCATTTGCAAGCATAATGGGGAGGCTCCAATACAGTTGTACGTTGAGGACTATCTGTGTAATAATCAAATTACTAAAAGAGACATGAGAGCCAGTTTAGTGTACTGGTTAAAGTGTCAGGCTAAAAGCTGGAAAAGTTCTAGTCCTTCCTTAGGCATGAGGCCAGCTGGATAACCTTGCACCACTCAGTCTCCCTCAACCTAGGAAGGAGACAATGGTGAATCAGTTCCAAAATTTTGCCAAGAAAACTGCAGAACTATTCCAGGCGGTTGCCAGGAGTCAACACTAACTAAAGGGCACTCCCAAGAAGGAGAGGAGGGGAGGGGGGGAGAGGAAGAAGGGGGAGGGAAGGGGAAGGGGAGGGAAGGAGGAAGAGGAAGACAAAGAGAAAATGGAAACAAAATGATGGCAGATTGTATATTATACATGTCCCTCCCAAATGCATGCTGGAAACAGTCTTCTTTAAGGCCAGTGTTAACCTCCACCCCAACCAGAATATACTGGGTATCAGGAGGACATCCACTGAGATTGGTAACTATCAGTAAACCAGACTACTAAATACTATGGTAATACAATGGTTGATAAAGTTCAGAATTAATTATTAGGACCAATGTGCTATAATGGAAGGAGCATTGTACATAAACCAGGGAAAAGCAGGTTTAAAACTCCACTCAGATATGAAATCACTTTCTCCCAGTCTAAACTTCCCAGGAGGATACAACATAGAATGGATCAAGAATGCTACACTGAACTCTTTAGGGAGACAGTGGGATTGAAAATAAAAAGACACCCTGATCATTGCTGTCAATTTGAACCACATTTCAAAGTAGTAGTTCCAATGTAAATGTGATTAATACAATCCTTAAATCATACAAATCAGTCTAGTAAATAGTAGCACACATGTATTGCCGCCACAGCAATGATTTATAAAATAGGACCAGAACATTTACCTTATAGCTTTATGTGCCTGGCACTGTTCAAGCCATCCATAACAAATTGCACGAGAAAGCTTAAGACAATGATTTTTCAGTTTTAGATACTACCAAACACCTCCCTTCGACCAGTCCGCTCTCACAGAGAGGGCCTCCTTAGAGTGCCGTCGGCCAGACAATGCCGGCTGGCGACCCCCAGGGGGAGAGCCTTCTCTGTGGCAGCTCCTGCCCTCTGGAATGACCTACCCCCCGACCTACGTACAGTTGCGGACCTGCGCCTTTTTCGCCGAGCCCTGAAGGCCCATCNCGTGCGGCCGGCCTGGCGTAGTTTGATTATGTTTCAGTGGGGGTTTTTGTATGGGTGTGTTTTTAGAACAGGCCTGTTATTTAATTCGATTTTAGAACAGAAACTATTTATTTATTATCGTGGTTTTTAGTATCGCCTGTTCACCGCCCTGAGTCCCGTAAGGGAGATAGGGCGGTATATAAATTTAATAAATAAATAATAAAAAAATATTGGATCCCTCCCCACAAGTTTTGGGACAAATCATATCCTCTTCAGCTGGCTAGATTATATAATACAACAACACTGGAATCAGGGTTTGAAAAAGTTGCATTAATGACTATATGACTGAACTGGTAATAATTGTAAAAGACATGTTTAAATCATGTTATGTACATGCTTTCCGGTGCAAGATAATGCTCTGCAAATAACCACGTTCACAGAGAGTCATTAAGTTCAAATCTTTCAGACCATCAAGTCCAATCCCGTCCCGTGCCAGAAACCAAATTAAAGGTTCTATGACAGATGATGTCCATCTTCTGCTTGAATACATCCAGTGAAGGATGTATACCTTTTGTATAATTGGTTTTACTGTAAAATTGCTCTTATTGAAATCATTACTAGCATTTAACTTGATACAGCCTTGCTATAGTTTAAATCCATTACATCATATCCTGTATTCTGAGGTTATAGAGAACAAGGCCTGACTTCCTTCTTTGTGATACCCTTATTGCTTATTGTAAACATTCTCAATTTTCCTCTCTCAAGGCTAAGTATATCCAATTCCTTCATGGAATTTAGTTTCTATTCCCTTGATCATCCTTGTTGCTTTTCTCTGAAGCTGTTCTAGTTTGTCTGAGTCATCTTCAACTGTGGAGTGCAAAACTGGATGCAGTATTCAAGATTAGGGTCTGATCATTGAAGAATAAAATAGCAATAGCACTTAAATTTATATACCGCTTCACAGTACTTTACAGCCCTCTCTAAGCAGTTTACAGAGTCAGCATATTGTCCCCAACAATCTGGGTCCTCATTTTACCAACCTCGAAAGGATGGAAGGCTTTCGGTGAGACTCGAACTGCCAAACTGCTGGCAGCTGGGAGTCAGCAGAAGTAGCCTGCAGTACTGCATTCTAACCACTGCGCCACCAGGTCTCTTGAAACTATTACTTCAAATTATTTGAAAATGTAGTTCAGTTGATGCAATCCAAAATTGCATCTATCTTTTCTTCAGCCACCTTAGGTAGAAAATACTATTAGCAAGCCATCTATGCTTTCTAATTAGAATAAAAGTGTGCAACCTTTTACTTCATTGTATTTTGTTAAATTATAAATTTGGATTTGAGTGATATTAAGATGCATTTACACCCAAGTGTTCCACCATTTAATAGAGATCTTGTGGCATCCAATCCACCACCATTCTTGATATTCCTAAGACTAGAAAGGGCTACAAAATAACTTCCAAGACTTTGGAAGTCTAGTCAAACCATAATCAGACAGATATGGTACAGATGATGAAAATACTGCACCATTATTACTTTTTCTAAGAATGGACTGTCAATGGTGATTCTCAAACATTCAGGTCATGTCTGTACCAAAGGTGCTTTTCAAAAGGCAACTGGATTTTCTTGGTTTTTTTTCCCTTGAAAATGTTTCACCTCATCCAAGAAGCTTCTTCAGTTCTGACTATATTTGGATATTGTTCATTTAACCAGAATCTCTTCATCTATTCATATAATTTTGAAAAATCTTAAACTTATTGCAGGTCACAATACTGCATGACTACAGATAGTTCTAAAAGGTTCACAAACTTTCTCCTACTATTATAGAGAGCTTGGGCCAAAAGACAGAGTTCTTCTCTCTCTCCAAGCATTTTCTACAAAAAAAGTGAAGTAGTCAGCTGTATGTCCCTGCATTATATTTATTTTAATAGGTTAGAAAATGGTAAGAGAAATAAAATGTATATTTGATTGTGATCTCATGTCGCAGGGCTGTGGAGTCGGAGTCGAGGAGTCGGAGGAAATTTTGGGTACCTGGAGTCGGAGTCGGCAAACAATGCACCGACTCCGACTCCTACTAAATTTAGATTGGAATTTAAAAAAAAGCAAGTTTAAATGTCCCAATTCACAAAAAGTTATAATTAATGACTTCTCTACTGTAAGAATAGACCAATGCATGCAGTGCCTCACGTAACCGCAAAACGAACACGTTAAGTGACCGTGAAGAAGCATGCTTTTCATGTGCTTCACTATATGGCACGCAACGCACAATTAGGAGCGGCAATACTTATACTTTCCATAGTGTTGTGTTCTGCTGTTACAGGGAACGCAGCGCCCATGGGTAACCTAGCCTCTCACTGATAAGNGGAAAAACTGCTGTCATTCAGCTAAGGCTATAAAAACTTGTAAACTCCGATTGTTAGCTTAAACTTTAAACATGACTATGGGATTCTACTAGGGAAATCATGTTTTATAATAAATGCCCCTTCCTGGATCCTCCCACTGTTGCCTTTCTTTCCTTCAAGGAATGTATAAAATACATTCGCATATTAATACAGAGGAGTCAGAGTCGGAAGTACAAAAAACTGAGGCGTCGGAGTCGAAACATTTATCTATCGACTCCACAGCCCTGCTCATGTGGGTCA